GAATAAGAGTGAAAAGAGATCTTTTTATACCTTTGACTAGCAAAAAGTGCTTGCTGGGATGCTAGCTCAAACTTGTGGGGTTAAATGTGGGGAAAATGGACCAAGTACGACCCTGGCTTCTGCAGGGGAGGCATCGAGGGATAGCAGGGACACCCAGACTACCCAGGACTGTTCCTCACTCACTGCCTGTTTGCTGCTAGGGGTGCTGTGATTCACCTTGCACTGCTGAGCACATCCCTTTGCCACACGTCTACCTGCACCGCAGGGAAGGATTCAGCCCACTCCAGTCACCTGCAGTGTGGTCAGGCTTTGTGTTCACCTACTGTTCCAGGTGCACCTGTATTAAATCATTGCCATTCAAGCAATCAAGCTCATTACTAGATTATGTGTTATAGGATCTGGGTGCATAAGCCCTTAGCACAAAAAAAATTCTCTTATTTTGCTAACTACCTAAACATAAAACTGCAAAGAAAGAAATTGTTCCCGTGACTCATATTTTTCATCATTTGGTCATTAAATAGTGATGGATATGAACCTATAAAGTACCTAAACCGAACCTTTTAACAATCCATGAGCAATACTATCATTTCTTTAATAGAACTTGCTGGCCGTGCCTTTCTCAGATGCCATTTGTCATTTTCAGCATGCAATAATCAATAACTTGGCTTTGAAATAAATAATATAACAGTCACAATATATTATCATTCAGGCTGGCCTTATACTAACCGTAAGACAAGACTTGGAGAGATGAAAACTTTAGGTAAATGCCAAAAATGAAATAACCGGAGCTAAATGAACAAGAAGCTTTGCCTAGTTTTGCTTCCAAATTAATTTGGACTTTCCTCGTATTTAGGAAACAGCATCTTCTGGATCATCTGACTTCAGGCTGGTGACAACTGCCATCCCCTGGATCCCTTTGCCACAGAGCTGATACAGCATCGCTCTCCCAGCTCCAGGTCAGCAAAGGCACATTAGCACCAGCATCAGTCTGTTGTTATTCACCGGAGCAATTAAACACATGCTAAGTTTTAAACATATGATTGTTACATTAAAATCAATAGGGCCCAAGAGCGCGCCTAGATTAAACGTGTTGCTAAACCCAGCTGGAGTTTAGAAAAGCAGCTCCATGGCTAGATGACTAAATCCCAGCAAAGTTTGGGAGCACATTGGGTGCAGTCCGTAGGCTTGCAGACTGTGGTGAGTGTGGTGGCATGTGCTCATGAGGACCTGAGCTGCGACCTGGGCAAAACCAGCGCTGTGCAGCCTGCCTGTGCCACGTGATAGGGTCCATGTCACACACGTCTGGGCCCAAGGCTACCACACACTGTAGGCATGTCTGTAAACATCAGTGTAGATGTAAATGTACACTACCACTTTATGAATTCATTTGTATGAGCAGGAAGGACAAGATGGAGGGCTAAGTCACGGCACAAGTAGGGTGCAAAAGCAAGCTTAGCTCTACATTTATGTCTTTGGCTGGGCCTTACTCAAAATCCTAGAATGGCCCGTATATATTTATTTCCTTGTTTGAATTTGCAGCAAGATTGCAATAACCTCTGGCCAACCTTGGCTGCTGATTTTGAACTTCTAACCAAAAGTAAGCCTGCAGTTTCATTTCTGAGCTGGGAACAACTTGATTGCAGGAAGTGGAAGAAAACAGGGGCAGGTAGGTGCCTAACCCAAGGTATTCATTTAGTGCCTCCTATTCGTACTCATCTTGACAATGGCACTTGACTTTAAAGCAAGTTCTGCTCGATGCAAGTATCTGCAGTTGGTCCAGTGGAAATCAGTGTGATGATATATATATGGGTAATGTTCATTGCACAGGATTTCAATAAGGCTGTCCCCTCTTATCCATAACAAAAGAGGAAAGCGCAAGGGACTTGGGAGCAGCAGAAAAGTGAGAGTGCAGCATTGAGGTGGGGAGAAGCCGTTCATCCTGTGGGGCCAGTGCTACTGCCTGCTCCTCCTGCTTCTCCTGCCAAGGGTGGGGAAGCAGGCAGGGCTGTTCGTGCAGCCGCGAGCTCCCTCTGGCTCCTGAGCCATCTGCACTGCATGGCCGTTGGTATTTTCTGATTAAGGAGAGAGCCACAGGCTCCTGCCTGGCAAACTCATTTTTATGTCTTGTTTCAGCACTCCCCACTGAGCTTTCTGAAGGTTTGCTGAGTCTGAAAGAGCAAGGGAAGAAGGGAAGACTTTATATAAATAAACTCTGGCAGTTCATCTTGGAGGCAGAATGTTCTCAGCAGTCGGTGTTATGGGTTCAGCTGCTCTTTCTAGATGAGATCTCCTTTGGGAAGCTGACCCAGACAGGACTGTGCCCAGCCCTGGAGGAGAGCACTCCCTGGCACCAGGCAGCTGCTGAGAGCTGCCCTGACGTCTCCCATCCTCAGTCCCAGGCTGAACGCACACCTCTGTGAGCTGCTGCCTCCAATCAACCCCTGCTGTAAACACCTGTATTCCTTGGGTGCCACTTAATTACTGAGATTTAGTTATAAACAACAGAAGTTCCCATTTTCAGGTCTGAGCAGCCCTTGTCGCTCATGTGGTTTGAGTTGATGATAACAATTAAAACCAAACAAGCTCCACATTAAGCTGCTTACGTCCTCTGCTGCCGTTATAATCGATATGGCCCCAGCACATGCCACTCAGATGAGCCACTTTGTCTTTACCACCTTTTGGAAGTCACTTAATCACCCTTTCTTTCCCTGCCCCATCCAGACTACCAGGTCTGCAGGGCCAGAGTAACGCTGGGTTAGTGCTTCAGACCGTGAAGGGCCAGCCATGGCTCAGCTCCCCAGGAGCTCTTGTAAACACAAATAATTAATTTTATATTGTCTGTTTAAGACTTGGAAAGTGGGAGTCTGAAGGACGTGGTTTAATTTGATTTTCTCTCTTACTTTCCAACAGAATCGAATGCTACAATTAGGGTGATGATCTGTGAGAGGATGGGCTGGAAGGAATCTTTAAGACCCCCGAAGACAGTTGGAGTCTGTAGAGCATTTATCACAGGTGACACCAGCACGTGAATCTAAAAGTAGTGCCTCTGATGCTGCGTGTATATGACTGATATTAAAAATGACTGATATAACAGAAAGCGTTTCACCTCTGTTGCCAGCCAGGAAGGTAGGTCTCCAGTATTCTCAGACTTAAATGCTGCCAGTATTTCACGTTAGGATAGTCATAAAGTTAAAGGTTAATAGGCTGTACAAATGACAGAGTTTAAGGGAAAAAATGAAGATGGGAAGATTTCTAGCACTTAGGGAACATTTTAAAAATGAAGCTCCTCTGTCTAATGTAATTTTTCCTATATTCTTTCTCACACTGTTGATCATTATTGAAAATATTTCTATTTGCATAAGTGATTTCTCCTTCACTGCCCACCTCCGTTTGCTTTTTGGATGATCACTACTTCCCACAGTACATGATGAGTCATAATCCTGCTGCCTGCCATAACAGTCTGCTGCCACAAGAATGTAATGGGGCTAAATTAAAGCCATAGCCTTGGAGGGAGGATGGAAGGGAGAGATGGGAATGAGAAAGGCTTTTATTTAATTGCGAGCCATTAGAACTTGCAGGTTGAGGAGAGGGGCAAACACATGCATTGCTGGAAATGGAATTTGGATGTGTTGTTGAGATTAGCTCAACGGGTGTTGTGAGTGACAAAAAAACTTATTTCTGTGTGAGCTTTGCTGCCATGAATGGCAGGGATTCCTTTCCGTGATGCCAGCACTAGAAATGAGACTCTAATGGCGAGATTAACGTGACTAAGACAAATATTGTTACAAGGAGACTTCCAGTTATCATGTTTGCTTCTGTACTGATGAAGAGAAATTCTCCCTTGATTCCTATGGAGGCCTTGTAGAGCAACTGGGAAAGGCCATTGTTTGAGCATTGTCTCTTGTGGCACTCTGGGAATGAAACTGCAGCAAAGCACGGCTCTTCAAAACGTGCGTTCTCCAAATGTTCTTCTCTCAGTCTGATCAGTGCCTGCTGATTCTCAGGAAAAAATAGTGTGAATGGTGCTGCTGAGATCGAGATCGATCTTTTCAATTGTTTCCCAGGTACATGTAGTACACACATTATAGTGCTAAGCTCTGACAAGCAATTGGCAATGAGTGAAGGCACCTTCAAGTCAACATTTGTTCTTACTGCTTTCTTCATGTATGAAAGGGAGTCACCCAGGTAGTGCTGAATTCTGGGTGTGCACAGAATCTCCCACTCCTTGCGAGGCAAGTAAGAGGCACTGCTAGGCTTTGACATTTGGTGGCCCCAAGCAGTACTACAGCTTTTCTTCCTCTGTGTTCTTCAGCTAGCTTTTAGTTTTCTCCAACATGTCCTTAAAAACCTTCTGGACCTGAGATATACAGAAGAAGTTAGATATTCTTGATTTACTGGGTTCTGAGCAACGAAGAGTTATGAAATAAGTATGGCTGCTGGGCAAAAACCTCTACTGCTCTGGAGCTGAAATGAAATAGAGAAAGTACCTTCGTGCTCCCTCTGGTAATGAATTCTATGCCTATTCTTCAGGACCAGACCTTTCATCTGCACAGAAGCCTGAGGTTGTAGGAGATGCTCCATACACAGCTGTTAGGAAGACCAGAATGTCAGGCTTCACATTCCCTGTGCATGGGTCAAGGTAAAACTCTCTATGGCAAATGTTTTAAGGATTACAGAGGCTCTCGGTGTCCTCTAGCAGTACCTTGGTACTGCAGTGGAGCTTTCTCATGCTCTGTAGCACAACACATATTTACACAGCTCTGTGAAATTTCTAGGACTGTTGAATGGTGACATGCCAATTTCTTCCTCCTTCACTGCAGTATCTATTTTCTAGTCTTCAGTTTCTGCTGTGCTATATGTCTTCTTAGCACTATCGTATTAATTTAATAGAACACAAGATCATGAAAGCTCATGTTTACAATATGTGTAAGTACTGTATTTATTTTGCATGCGACATTGGAAAGAATGTGATAAAAATATTTTAAGAAATGAAAGCAAAGTTAAACCCACCTGCTTGTTTCTTTGTTTGGAGACTAAAATGTGGTGCAAATGAAATAAAAAGTCTGTAAGAAGTAAATTGCTTGCAGTGCAAATAGATTTCTAAGACTTTACCATTGCTTGGGTGAAAAACATTTGAAAGATCTCCAGTAATTTATTCACAGAGCATTTTCCTTGTCTAAAACAATGAGTCATGCACTGCCTTTGGGAGAGTTTGGGGCTCTTCTTTCCACATTCAAGACCCATTGCTTTGCATCTAACTTCTTGGATTCAAACAAGATTTCTTTAGGAAATGAATGTTTTTCTTGCTGATCTTTAGCCTCTGTGGGAGCTACCTCACGCATCCAGGTTGTCTGATAGGATCCTTCATCCCTCTGTATTGGCAGCTGCTCATGTAAGCAGATCTATGATGGCAGTGGGATTGCTTGTGTGAAGAAATACTCACCTAAAAGCAGAGTCCATTTTCTTTGGCCCTTTGTAATTTCTGGTTTTTTTTATCCTTCTTTTTTTTTTTTTTTTTTTTTAACAGAGAGACCAAATGGTTATAATGTTCCAAACTAAAAGACAGTTTTCTTTCGAAAAAGAGGCCATGCCTAGAAGTTGAGTGTGGAAAATGCTGCCTGTAGCCTTTTATTAGCTTCATTCACTCTATCTGCCTTGTATGCCAAGAAAAGTATAAACAAATGGCAGGGTATTGGTTTTTCAATAGCAAGGTTTAAACCGAGGTTATAAAAAACATATCCCATCTGACTGTATTTATGAAACAATTAATATTGTCAATGTCTTTTCCATCTCCTCCAAGTCACACTTACTACATAAACTTTGATATATCTCTAAGAGGAACAAAAATACCAGCCGGAGAATAAACAGGGCAGTGCGCCAGCACTATTGGAAAGGGAAACTATTTCCTTGTCTTCTTATACAATGCTTTGATATTAAAATAAACCAAGACGTAATTCTCTTGAATTTGCCTGTGAAGGCTCGGGTGATAGCAGACGAAGGGTCTTGTTCTTAGCTTGTAATGTCAGGTTCTATATGCAATTAACAATTTTCTTGCGCAGAACACTGCGCAGAACACTTTTACACTGGCAGTAAGTCTCGAATTCTCCGTTCTACCCCCAGGACCACAGCGATTTGGTGTCAGCCCTGGCCCTCATTCTGCTCCCATCTCCCGTCGTGCGCGATGGGGCGCCGGCCCCGAGTGCGGCAGTAGAGCGCCCGGCGCTGTCCGTGGTGCTGAAGGCACCGCTCCTAGGAGAGAGCGAGCGGGCAGAGCGTACCTACTGCTATTTCTCGTGTTATTGCTATCGCTGTTATCATCACTTGCAACTGTATCACCATTATAACTACATTCATTCTCCGCAAATCAGTGTTGAAATCTTCCCGGACAAAAGTAAAAATGTTTTCCTAAGAATTTCCCAAGTTTTCATGGTGAAGATCATCGTGGCAGCTTCACATTCTTGTTTTAGCGAGCTTCCCTCGCCCTTGTTTGTCACCTGAAAATTCAGGGCTGCTTATCAATAGTGCTCTGTGTGTCATGCTGCTGCAAGGCATTCCAATCGATATATTATAATTTCAGAGCTTATTAGGAAGGTGAAGGACGTTATCAAGGACATCTGGAAATTCTGATCGGTGTTCTGCAATCTCTGATCAGCTTCAGTGCTTTACAAGCATAGTCAGTAGAATGGAATAAAATCAAAATCTCTAACTCGAGAGACAGTGTCTAATCCTCTCATTCATACAAACCATTGCTGCCAATAACAGCCCCCCGTGCGCCGCCTAGCCCCCCCCCCTTCCCCCCCCCGAAAAATAAAATAAAATAAAATAAAAACAGAAGTATCATCTGCATATTTGCCCTAATGTCTTTTACCACATTCTCCATTCTTCATTCCATTGCAGCTCTCGGGCACAAAAATACATAATGAACTCCTCGTGGCAGCATGATGTGTACTGTATGTAATTTTCCTGACTGAAATATCTGAGACAAGAGTGATCTAGAGGAAGGTGAAAATACATTAAAAGTAATTTTTTGTGACAGCATTACACAAGTAACTGAGATCTCATGCTCTGTGGATGACAACACACAGTAAGAACACTTATCAGGATGGTGAAGAGAAACAGTTAGTGCTTGCTTAATACATTAGGATTATTATTTGGACAATTCTATTGCTCTGTAGATACCCAGCAGTGCTTACAGATATTGCATTTCACGCATATGCCATGTTGAAAGTGTTCCACTTTCTGTCATTTGTAATACAATTGTTTGTCTTACCTGCTGCCTTGAACAAGATGTTCTGTCATGTTGTCAGAGCCAATCATACTGTCCCCTTGCATTGTTCTTTTTTTGTGGGTCCCTAATGACTAGCCAAATATCTCCTTAGATTAGGTGAAGAAATCATCCTTGGTTCCTAACCAGCTTTGTTCTATCTCTATATGAGGAAGTAGTTTCAAGCCACCATTCTGGGGTGTAAGGCTGAACTGGTCGAGTATCCTTGGCTTAATGTAAAAAAACATCTCTTGTTGTGCAGAAAACAGTGGTGTAACTGCTCCACAGTGGCTGCACTGTTGATGAAGCTGAGTATGCATCCATGCATTGAAGGGTTTGCCCAGCAGTGGATTTAGTCCTGCTCTCCACCAACCAAGCGATGCCCTCACTCCAAACATCATTAGCACTGTTTTGTATACCTCAGAGCAGTTGGATCATTATAGATCCACTGCCAAGGGACCATGTGGGCAGGGAAATGGTATGACATACTGCTTATGTGCAGGGATTCCTGAGAGAGGATCTAGTTTTCTGTGACTAATAATGGGATTCTAATAAAAAGTTTGGCTTTTTTTTTGTTTGTTTGCCTTTAAATGAGCTCTTCCTGGTACTGAGGTTGTCCTGGCACATAACATTGCATTAATCAAGTTTGTTAACAATGAATTTCTGATATGTACTGCTTATGTTTGACTGAAGTATATTACAAACATTTTCAGTGTAATGCTTGCCTTTCTAATAGATCTTTAGTTTTTCAACCATGTAAAAGAAAAATCAGTGCATGCTACATAAACATGTACCTCTGACCCAAAGAAGGAATGTTTGGAATTTGACTCTGAAGTAAAGAACTCAGCCCAGAGCAGTCATTTTTTGGCCTCTGATGCTAACACCTTTACAGTACTGATCTGAGGACTTTTAGCAATATAGCAGAAAGAAGAAACTTCATTATTTAGGATAACACTTCCGTCCTGGAATGTGCAGAGACGTTATGTGGAAAGAAGCCCAGGAATCTTCTTTCCCCTGTTTTCTTTTGCAGAACAGGCAGAACAGTCTGCAAGCCACAGGAGGGATACGAATGCCTGAGCTGTCTCAATTTCTGAAGAGGAGATGTCCTTCCACTGCTCCAGCCAAAAGAGGCAGAAGGAGCCCCCTGCAGTGTGCACATCACTTGTGCTTCTTGGGATTCCTGAACCACTGATCTTCTCTCAGGTAAGACAGATCCGTGAATAAGTGCAAACCACACAGAGGTCTTGACATAGAAGCTCTTGCTGAAGCAGAAAATGGCCCCATCGTTCACTTATTTTACAAAACCAAGAGCTATTTTGGGGATTTGCTGACTTGGAACGAGCTGGTTCAGAATTCCATGCATTTATAACGAAAGTGCTTAGGGAAATTAGGATGACCACAGGATCTTTTAATAAAGTCCAACACGCAGCTTGCATTGGGAATGTGTGTTCAGCACAGCTCTTGTACAACTGCCAGGGATCTCAGATAGGAACGCGAGACTCCTCATAAGCAGCTGATTTTTGAGTCAATGGGCTGTAACACCTTTGAAATCAATGATTATTTAAGGACTCCTAAAACAGCACGTTGTTCAGCGGCTGTGCGCACAAACACTGGATCTATTCTATTCCCTGCTGGCTCCCAGCAAATGCATAATTTGGATCTGAGTTCTGAAGGCTGGATATGGTTTATAACTCTTGTTTCCTAGTCAGCCCAGTACAACATTCACCACACAGCTTTGGAGTTCTGTATGACTTCAGCAGGAGCTGAAAACACTCAGCGCTTTTCAGGTGTGATTCCAGGATGCTTGTGGATTTTCATGAACATGTAATTTGTGACCACAAAGAAATTTGGGATGTTTACACAGTTTATACTGGTTTTTTTCTCCCAGTCTATAGAAAATAATTCAGAGTTTATGGCTTGATATGTAAACACCAGTCTTTAGATTTAGAAGCACAAGCTGCAAAGTTGCCATTTTTCCGTTGTTCTTTGGATATTCCCATCCTTATATTGAAACAAGTAAGACGAGCTACAACAAAGTTCACTTAGATGAAATGCCAAAGAGCAGCTTATATTCTGCCTTGACATCCTCCTATGGTATTTTTCACAAGAGATCTCCTCCACTGTGTTTAGCTGACCTCTTTTCTGTGAGCACACTTGTGAAAGTGACAAACTGTGCACACACGGCCATCGTCAACACAAAGATGATCATCCTTTCTAGAAACTGGACTGGAGGGCAGGTCGCCATGACAAAAGCAAAGGATATGTTGGATGAGTGTGTGATGATCAGAGAGCATTGCATCGTCTGATACAGAGCAAGTGTGTGGTGCTGTATGGAATGAAGACTGTAGCTGGATCACATCATTTGCCCATCACTTCTGTCCCTGCGGATTTATTCCAAATTACATGGCAGTTTTCCACAGAACTTGTTTCACAGAAACGTCACAACCTGGAAATTGTTCTGCTTTCCTGTAAACATGATATCTTTGTGAGTCACAGGCAGGGCTGTGATGGGCCTCAGAATAAAAGTCTCGCAAATTAACGGTGCAATCAGGTTCAGAATGGACACTCTAATATTTGTCAGGAAAGACACTCGGCTTGCCAGGAAACCACCAGAAAGCAGATACTTGCAAGGCCTTCAGTTTCAAGGAACAAAAATGTCATTGTAAGGCATAATAAGGGAACAGCTTTAACTGTTCCAAAATACCTCCTGCTCCACGCACATTGCATACACTCCTC